GATAGACAATAAAATATTAAAAGGAATGAGTAAAAGTTACATTAAAAACCCTTTTTAAATCGATCCTGAGGTGTCAAATAAAACAGTTTAGCTCTGGCTTCTCGCTCTCTTCGCTCGCGAGTTTACAACTCTTGTAATAGTTGTTCTGTTGCTTCAGCTTAGAGTGGACTAACTTCATTGAAGCATACTACAAAAGCTACAAGTACTTTAAGCATTATCGTTGCTTTGCATTGATACTCTAAATCGACCTATTCCTACTTTCATTAACTGATCTAGAATTCAAATATTGAATCAAAAAATTTTCTCACACGCTTAGCTTTTTAAAGAAACATAAATACACTCTCCAGCATTCCCATTATGGACATGTTAATTGCGATTTAGGAGGGTATTTCTTCCAATTATCTGATTAATTTGCAGACAATTGAGTGTCATTGACTTATAATACCTAAATTTCGAATAATGAAGAATGAAACATGTAACACGCCCCTAGTAGGTAGGCAACTTTCATAACTTCCCACCTTTTGCCCCCCCCTGAAAAGTCGACGTGTCGGCGCCCCTGAATAAAAATAGAGGAGGATGACCGAGGAGGGGGGGGGGGGCGGCCTCGACCGTTCAAAAGCTTTCATTTGAGACCAAAAATATAGCCTGCTCCCTAAAATGACGATATCGGAAGCAAGCATGGCAGTTCGAGAATGACCGACATTTTCGGTACCAAATGAAAGCTCTTGATGGTTTCTTCTTAGATAGAACGACTACAGGTTCCATCAAAAGTGAACGAGATCGAAGTTTTGGCCAATAATCCGCAGCTGCGGTAACTGGCGCTCGACGCACGCACGCGCGCGGCGCTGCGCGGCGCTAATTTTACAGACCTAGAAAAGCATGTTTTTCGGACAAGTACAAATAAGCTTTACTTGACTTTTAGCACACATGTTGTTCTTGATACAAGAGCACTGAAGACGGACCACACCCAGAAAAATGTTCAGATATATACAAATGCACAAGTACAATTTTTTACTTGTGTTGTAACAATGCAAAAAAAAAAAAATATTCAAACAAGGTCAATTTACCTCTAAATTATCTTAAGAGGAGTGATCTTATTTTAGTGATTATCTTGAATTGTTTCAAGAGAAAAATTGATCTTGTTCAAACCCGAGTACAAATACAGGGAGGTCTACTACTTTCGTGGGTCAACAGATCTCTTCCTTTATTTTGCTTATACTGTACCGCATGCGGGCGTGCGGGTGGGTTGCATACTCTCACGGGGCCGTGGGGCGCCGTGGTGAGAAACGGTAGGCAAGCCCGCCCGCACGCCTGTAAGCGGTACAGTACAAGCAAAATAAAGGAAGGGGTCTGTGGACCAGCTTGTCCACTTGAGTCAAGAAATGTTTTTTCTGCGTACCGAGATATGGCAAAAACCATGGCAAAACCTTTTACGCGAACCATCCCATAAGCCGCAGACCCGTGAGGGGACCGCTGACCACCCCTTACGTGGTTTTGACCATATGTACCGGGTGATTCAGAGAAGACGCAGGTGCTGGCGGGTTTGCCTATCCGCTCTGTCCGTAAGGCGCCATAGCCCCTTGGGTAGTCAGACCCGCCCGCACCTGCGTCTTCTCTGAATCACCCGGTACGAAATGGAGTTCTTATGCCAAAGGCGAGTAAGTGCGTGCAATTTCCACGCGCTTTCATAGGCTAGGATTCGCTAGGATTACTAGTTGGGTTATTTTATGGCACTTTATTTACTTACTATTTTCTTCCGCCAGGTCGATGTACTCCCTCCGTAGGTTGTTCCGAACGACTCCATCCACGTTTGACGCCTTTGTGCCATGCAGCAGCGTGTACACTTCGGCGCGGGGTTTGCACAGCTCGTACTCCTCCTTCACTGCGTAGAACTCTTCATATATGTCCGAGTTGCATATCGTTTGGATGGTCCTGATGGAGTACTTGTTGACGTTTTCTCCCTTGTACTGCTCCCACAGTTGCGCGATGTTCCAGTAGCCTTCGCTGCCACGAGGCAAGTCGATGAGATTGGGTTGTCCAGGGTAAATCGGATAGCGCGAATAGTCCCGGATAGGGATCTTCCTGATCCGCACTGGTCGGTACTGGTAACGCTGGTACGGGGTGGTCCACGTCGGGTGCCTGTGCTGCGCTCCAAACGACGACATTGGCGAGCAGTGTCAAAATCCGGTTGACGGCGAGGGAGATTCGGAACCGGAGCCCGAAACTGCTGCTAGTTTCGGCGTCGGTGTCCGCTTGCGTGTAGCGGAGTGCTGGAAGCAAGCGATGCGGGGCGGCTGAGCGCTGGCGTGATGCTCACTGGTCGGCTACTCGATCGCGACTGACTGGGACTGGCAGGGGTGTGGCGACAGCGAGGGGAGGAGAGGAGAGCTGCGAGGGCGTGGATGCAGGCGAGGGAGGAGGGGAGAAGAGGGAGGAGGCGAGAGGAGGCGAGAGCGTCGAGACTGGGTTTACCCGTAGTGATTGTGCGGCAGGGCAGTGCACCACGAAGTGCAGACAGAGGCTGCGAAGTCTATTGACGAATGTATGGCGAGTGTCAGTCGAAAGGAGACAGCGCTATGGAAACTAGCGAGAGGACCGTTCTCAAAGCTGGAGCTCGAGCGCAAGCGAGGAGCAGAGGAGCGGTGCCAATGGCTGGTGCAGCGTAGAGTGCAGCGGTGCGGTGGTTGTCTGTGTGCCAGCTGTCGGTGGCCCGCGGTGCAGCAAGGAGGGTTCTGCGAGGATACATACATAATCAGTGCAATGCAGTCTATCGAAGAGAGAGGGGGTGATTTCATAGCGATGCTATCTGAGCTCGTGCCGAACGAGGGGGACAATAGAGGCCCCGAGAGGCCCATTTTGTATTAGACCACCCTTGTTTGTTTTTGTAGTCATGTACCGGGTGTAACTGTGAATGCGCAGCAGTGTTGTGGGATTGCCTACTCAATTTGGCCGCAGGGACCATGGCCCTGTTTTAGGGGATAAGTCTTTGGTTCAAGGATAAAGATTGTGTTAGATGGTTTCTGTTAATATCACTGTATTGTCACTCTACTGTGTATAATAGTTGTGACCCCCACACTCCCTGGCTGGCTGGCGACTGCCTGGCGACGGTCGCTCCCCGGTGTCCAGCATGACAGGGTTGCCACGAAGTCCCAGTTTCCGAATATCCTGACATTTTCCTGACCAAATCCTGACAAAAAAGTGACTTTATCCTGACATTTTGAAAACAAGTTGATGGTGAAATAGCGCTATTTTTGAGGTGTAAAGAAGATAAAATAAGGTATTTTTTCTGGAAGAAAAATATCAGAGTGGCGCACCACCACAGCGCCACGCTGCTGGCCAAGGTAGCGCAGAGCAGCAGGGCGATAACCAGTACTAACTATTTATCCTGACACTTTTACCCAAAAATCCTGACATTATCCTGACTATCCTGACAACTTTTTGAAATCCTGACAAAACCCTGATTATCCTGACGCGGCTGACCCTCAGAGCTCGCACCCTGCGCTGCTCATAGGGCCCGGCAGATATTGGAGACAGGGCATCGCACTGGCTCCGCTCTGTCCCGCCGCTGACCGCTACACTATGTACAGGGTGGGTGATTCGCGCCGTGGTTTTTTTCGGCTTATACTGTACCGGATTCATGCGTGCGGATCGAACATCGACTCGATGTATCGGATAAACTAAGTGTGCAACTGCTTTACCGTTTTCCCCGTTAGATTGGACGCTCACTAAGTGCTTAACTGAAGAGTTGCACACTTACAAGTGTTAAGCAGTTGTTAGTTGGCCACAGTTTATCGGTTAATATCGAGTTCAATCGCACTATCAAACTATATCGAGAAACCACATGTCTGTTAATAGGAACCTTGATATCGGACAAATATCATAGAGACCGCGAAGTATCGTGATATCGCCAGTCAGGCTGCAGGGCATAGGTATAGGTGACTCACGCCGCGCCATATTTTTATAACTGTGTCAAGTCATAGCTATAGTTGGTTCACGAAATTCTGACACACCGGCAGGCCTTTGGACCCCTGGTCTCATTGTAAGCGTCATTACGATGCGTGAAGGCCTGCTGCCGGAGGGTCCCCGGCCCTTGCCGGGCCCAGTGATACGGCTGTCAAACATCTTCGCGTCTCTTTTATGGGGGCCCACTACCTTCGGGGGAGTGCGAAGTACGGCTTGGCAGCTCTAGTCCAGCACTTCAAGGTTTTAACCCTGAACAAAAATACGTCAAGCTGGAATTTGGCTTAATCGATGCAGTTTGATGTGCTGAATCACGTCCTGTAAAGTCTACCGACCCAACCCGTGAGCGTTCACCGGAAATTGAACAAAAGGGCCTAAATGCAGGGGTTTGGGGTACGCGCTGTAGCTCCGAAACTATTCGTGCGATTTCAACGGGACTTGTGTCAAAATGTGCGGAATGAAACAAGGAACAAATCCACTAGTCCACGAAAGTCCCGCACTGCGTCTTTCTAGTCCAAATTTAGACTCAACTGCAAATTTTCGAATTTCGGAATAAGCTTTAAAAACATATCAAGTCATATCTCCGCACTGAGGCGGTAGATTTGAAAATGGCCCAAGCAAACGCTGTGCGCTCAACCTTTAGCTCGACGTCGCTGTTTTCAGATTTTCGACACATTTAACCGTTCAGGTTCTATCCGCCTTGAACTGAACCCGTGCAGAGCCGCCGGAGAGCCTCCGGAGCCGTCCCGCCGGAGCCCGCCGCTGGAGTTGGGGTGGTGGTGGGGGGACCCCAGCGCGCTCTCTCTCCCTCGCCCGCATGCATCAGAGAGAGACAGAGCAGCGCGCGCTCGCCCCGCCGGCCGGCTGAAGGAGCGAAAATAAACGTAAAATATCTTACGTTTAGAAAATAGACCGCGTATTTTGCTTTCGTGCATCGGGTAGAACTGAGTGTCCGCTACACTCCTCTGAAGAGTCTACCGGGCTATCTCGTGCGGGAAGCGTATGCGCGAAGGAAAACCCCAATCATGCACTTCTACCTTTGAGCGCGTGTTGA